TTATCTTCAAATATATATATATATATATATATATATATATATATATATATATATATATATATATATATATATATATGTGTGTGTGTGTGTGTGTGTGTAAAAACAGAAAAGCTATCCGGACATACTCTGTGTTTAGTCTGTTGAATTTATGTAACCTTTTGCTGATGTACTCTATTGTAATATGTACTTCTGACAGTTTTCTGTTGTTTCTTCTTCTCTCTCTCTCTACCTTCATTTTATCTCCTTGAGTCCTTGGTCTGTAGAGAGTAATCTTGTTTGCTCTGCAATTTGTAACTGTTGAAAATTTTAAAAATAAAATAATCTAAAAAAAGACTCGGCCTTTAGTAATCGACACACTGCCTCGCCTGGTCGCCTAAGGCCCGTGCTGCTTGCACGTAAACAGATGAATGACGACCCGGGCGAAGGTTGCCGTACCCGTCGCAGGCTCTAAAGTGGTGATGGTACCTCCGGGATTTATTCTCCCTCTCGCTACTGTGCGAGTCCCGCCGGCGGCGCTTGCGGCTGCCCAGCCTCTCCTCCGAGCTTCGCTCCGGCATCCAGCGGCCCGGAGAAGCCATCCGCCTCGACTGGCGCATCTGGCAAAGGGAGCCACAAAAATAAAGAAAATACCCCGAATTATGCGCCCAAACCCTGCGGTTTATTTACCACAGCGCAAAACAGCCAAGTATAACAAGATCAAGGGGACACTGATTCAATAACCCGAATTTAGTGAAGCCAACCGACGTGTTTAAAATAAATGCGTCAAGATGAGACATGAGAGGCGGCATTTGAAATCTGACGGCACAAGTCCCGCGTAACGAGCTAAACAATGCTAGCATAAAATCCCATTTTAAACAAAGACGATCTGCATTTAGGTTTGAGCGCTAAATAAAGCACAGCTCCGTGTTGGTCCATCAACTGATAATCTTTCAGGTACATAACTATCGAAATATTTAACCAGCTCGCACAGCCTTTTGTTCTCATATTGTCGGATGATACTGTGCATTTAAGCAACGGAGAAACAAGTATTTTCTTTTATTAAATACAAAATTATATTAACATTTAGGTCTCACAATTTAATAGAGTCGGATGATCATACCTCTAGTAAGGGATGAAGCATACCAAAGAGCAAACAATCCTTATTTTCCTGACGATACAAAATAACAGCACTCACTCGCCTTTAGACAGTCTCAAAATGGCGACCGTCTTCTCGAGCTTTCGGTGGAAAAACACGCCGAAGGCCGGAAGTCGTCTGTGGATTGGTGATCGTCGACAAGATGACGTTGCCGAAAGGGAAGTGTAGTTTAACAAAAGCACAATTCATGATCTGCAGTATAGTACGCCATAATAACCAAAATAAACCCTCATCTCTCTAAAAAGAACATGCCAGCACAGTTTCGGTTTGCAAAATTGCATATGAACGAACCACAAGACTTCTGGAACTCTGGACGGACGAGACCAAAGTGGAGATGTTTGGTATTAATGCACAGTACCATGCTTGGTGAAAACAAAACACAGCATATCAGCACAAACACCTCATACCAACCGTCAAGCACGGTGGTGGAGGGGTGATGATTTGGGCTTGTTTTCCAGCCACAGGACCTGGGCACCTGGCAGTCATTGGGTAAACCATGAACTCTTCTGTATACCAATATCGTAGAGTCAAATGTGAAGCCATCTGTCCGACAGCTAAAGCTTGGCCAAAATTGGGTCATGCAACAGGACAATCTTTCCAGCAGATCTACAACAGAATGACTGAAAAAGAAATATATAAAGGTGTTGCAATGGCCCAGTCAAAGTCCAGACCTCAACCCGACTGAAAGGCTGTGGCGGGACCTTATGGGAGCCGTGTATAAACGAATGGCCACAAACCTCAATGAACTGAAGCAACGTTGTAAAGAAGAGTGGGCCAGAATTCTTCCAGAACGATGTGAGACTGATGAAGTCACATAGAAAATGATCACTTCAAGTTATTGCTGCGAAAGGTGGTTCGAGAAGCTACTGAATCATGGGGTGTGCTTAGTTTGTCACACATGGCTTCTCCATTTTGGCTTAATTTCTGTTAAATAAACAATGACGCGGTGGAATATGTTGTGTGTTATTTTATACCTGAAAGAGTTTGTACTTTCTTTTTCACAAAACTGTAAGTTACTTGTTTGCAACAAAGACACCCATTACGTGTACTGGTGTGACACAGAGCCTACAAACTGGCTTGGGGATGTCTGGGTGCAGTGGACTGTGGTTCTTTATGTGGTTTTTACGATGTAGTGCGGGCCCAAAAAAGCCCTGCTTTGAAATATTTTACAAGAATAGCAACATCTAATCTTTGTTAGTCAATACCAATCAGGGGTAGACTGAATAATCCATAACTATCATCGATGCCATAGAAGGAGATGCAGCCTTTGTATGCTATTACATTTTTAAAAGCATCATCCAATTATGAATTATGGTGAAGTCTGGTAGGGATGGAGAGAATGTGATATAGGTTTGTAATATAAGCCCAGAAATAATACAATTCCACCCATTATGGCCAGGAAACATGGACACGATACAGAGGACAGCCTCAAACAGGTCACAGACACCATTGTTTTTATTTATGTTTATTTTTTAAATACATTGTATGGTACCCAAATAAAGACATATAAACCCACCATCACCCCTGCCCGCTAGCAGAAGGGAGTCTCCCATGAAATCTCAGCCAAGTACGACATGTGTGAAGATCTACTGTGCTGTCTTCGTAGCCTCTGAGTACAATCTCAACGTACCATTTTTGATGGCTCATAATGCGTGTGTAACATCTGATAACAGGGCTCTTGCTGTATTAACAAGACAACTATATTGTTATAGTGGAAGCAGAGACCGGGATCTGACAAGTGGACACAAGTGGAAACTAAAATGTTTTTGGGGGTGGCTTCCTGTCAGGTCCTGCAGCAATGTGTCGATAAGACAGAATGCCCTCTGGAGACATATCTGTCCTAAGAGATGACAGCCAATGAGAAGGGAGAAGATTCTGTGCTAGCCAACCAGACTATAGGAAGATTATTCCACGAAATGACATCAGAGAGTAAAAGTCAAATGTACCAAAAATAACCATATTCATTGAAAAGCAAAAGTGATATCGACCAAACAGAATGGAGCGGAACTTTGCACAGTAAGGTGTCCCACAAGCACACCACTCACACAACCATTTTAAGCAGAATAAGACTTCAGAAATTAAATTATCATAGAAAGTACCCATGTCACATGACATCCCTCTCCCAGATTCCCACCCCCATTGCCATGAGACAGCAAATCAAAACTCTGCAACCACTTTATACAACATCATTGTCATTAACAACAAGAGATTAAGCGAGAAGGACACGACTGTTATTTTGTTTCCAGCAAAAAACAACAGATTCTGTGTGTAAAAAATCCCTCTGTTTTAAGTAAGGACCTAAAAGAGTATCGTTTTCCGTTTGTTCCCATTATAAACCTCACGCCAAAAAGTGTCCCAAACGTACCACGTTATTCACATTTACATTACAAAGAAAAAAGAATAAGTACACTGCTGTGGTATGACACAGTTTTGTGTTTGAGAAAATAATGCCTTCAGTGTTACGACATGAAAAGCATAATGCCCTTTTTTTTTTTTAAAAAAAATGCTGTTTAAACATGCCATGAGGAATTGACCTTTTAGCAGAATAATAATAATAATAATAAAAAAACAACAACACAAATCTGTCATTACAGAATTTTCAAACGAACGTTTAACAACTGAATATCAGTCAGTGATGAATGTCCTGCAAACCAGAAGTGGGAAGTTCCCTCCTCGTCGCCCAATGGTCAGCCAGGCCCGTCGACCTGACTGGGGGTTCGATATCGTCGAATCGACTGCAAAATGAAAGCTGGCAGAGGTTGACGAAGGGGGTGTTTCCACGGCGTGTCGATTGTAGGTGAATGCTCCATAGCTGTTCGGTCATCAGCATCCATAGTTTGCTGGAACCACTGGCAGAGAGTTGCCGCCATGGGGCACGAGTCAAAGGAGTCGCTTAGCTTATCTGCCTGCCCCAATGAAGGCAGTGTTTGCCGGAGAGAAAAATAGCAACGGTGAACTTTCCAGCTAAACCGTGAACGGCCTCTACTTCCGAAGGATGCCACACGTCTCAGATCGCAGTAAACAAAATGGGACCAAACAGTCCCTTGGGCCTTCTGGGACAGACATGACCCTACGCTCATGACAATGTTACAACACTGAAGTCACACAAGGCTGTTGGGCAGAGAAAAATATCAATAATTTATATAAAACAGGAGGGCTGTACATCCTTCTGCTTGTACTTCATATCGGAACCTCGTTAAAGAAAAACTACACTGGAGGAAAAGACGACGTACAGATCGGTCACTCGCACAGATATCAATACGCACTCATTCCTCTACACGTTCACCTCATACACCCTGACTCTGAATGTATAAATATATACACAAGTTGGCTCCTGATGCTCAGGGCAAAATAAAGAAAAAATATATTCTAATACTTTGCAAGGGCAATTTGCTTAAGTCCTCTCTGTGTTCGCAATTCTGTACAATGTTTATCTTTCTTGATTTATTTTTTCCTGATGAGTCCTGTCATCATTCTTGATTTCTTCGGTTGTAATAAAAACACCTAAGTTCCAGCTTGGTTCCTTCAGAGTCTCTTTTTAGTGCAATGAACGTGTCCCCTTCTTGTGCTGACTTGTCCGCCCCTCCTCATGTCTTCCCCAGGATGGTGGATCTGCAATGACATGAAGGCAGTTCTTCAATCAAGCTTCCAACCACGACAGCTCACACAATACTCCACCTTGTGTTAATCATCAAAGTTTTAAGTTAAAGCATAGCACACCTATGTATCACTGAGAAAAGTTTATTATAAACTCCTTCTCTGCCTTTCCTTCTATGTTGCTAGTGACCCAAAGGGTCTGTATTTTCCTTAGTAACTAGCTACTAGTCTTCTGTGTCAGTACTGTAGACGACGAGAAGTTTGAGAGTTGGATACTAATGATACCGTCTGGCATTCAGAGACTCTTAAAAGTGAGAAAATGCATATAAAATGATGAAACTCTTGCGATTCTTCATCATCTCACCTGAGAGATTTCCACCTGTCTTTCTCTACTTGGTTTTCTGGGCTCTCGCTCTCGTAGGATGCCAGGTACAGCCCTGCAGGGAGAGGACAGGAGATGCAGAGCTGATGGATGCCCACAGGGAATAACATGCGGTCTGTGTTCTTATTTCTCACGGTCAGGCCCTACGCCAGCTCCTACTGGTTCGTGTTGATCTGGCATTTCCCGGAGTGAACACTCACCATCCTCATTGAAGATGGGCGCGGTGTGAAGGTAGTGCAGAATGTGCCGGTCCTGCTCAAATGGGCACTCCACCTGCTTCCAGGTCATGAATTCCCCCACCTGCCTCGCCAGCTCCACGAATTTCTGAGGACAAAGGCGGCACGTCAGAAGTGCTCGATTGATATTGACGCGCAAACGGGTGCAGCCCCATGAACCGAAGCAGCAGGGAACAGCTCCCTCACCTCGAAGTTGACATGCCCGTTGGGAAGGCGGTTGGCACACCCTTCATTGAGGAAGTAGATGTCTTTGATGAGCAGGCTGAAGAATGGGATGACTATCTGGAAGGCAGAAGGGAGGAAAGGAGGATGAAGCATTGCTATGCCAGGCATATCTTGAAAATTACTCATGGTGTCTTCCTGGCTCAGGATGGTCACACGTGATTGGCCGTGGCAGGTGGCATGTCCCCGCCTACCTTCTCCCTGTTGCTGTGAGCTGTCTGTGACCGGTGCGCCGCACCCTTCAAAGCCGTTCTGTAGTTGTAGAAGTTTCCGGTCGGGTCCATTTGGTGCTGCGTATAAGAGAAGTCTGGTCACCCATAGTCATCTATACTTGGGTCAACATGTCCTAAGGGTGTAGACCCCTTCCGAAAGGCGGGCGGGTGTCGTTCTGTCGGCAGAAGTTCTGAAGGTATGTCTCACTCTTTAACTGTTTTCCATACAGTTAATGCTGATGGCCGACCCTTCCTCACACGCTCTTAATGAGCGGCGTAATTAACGTGCGGCAGTATTCGTGGTGATGCCCTACCTCCAGGATGAAGAACTTGGCAGTCTTCACCTTTCCCCAGGTCTTCTTCAGCCGAGATACGGGGCTCATGTTCATGCCGGCTGCAGAGAGGACAGAGCGAGATTCCGGTTCAGGGGAACAGCTTCCAGAGGAGTTCCTGCTCAGCCATAGATTACGCAACTCGAGGTTAGACAGGAGGCACTGGCTCATTTGGGTATAGGCACCGTATTAGGGGTATTACCGTTATCTGGGTCTTTCAGAGTCAGGCTTTAGATAGAGCTGGTTTGGGTTCATAGTGCCTCACGGCTCTATGAATGTGGGCTTGATTCCAGTCCCTAGCTCTGTGTTTGTGGAGTGTGCATGTTCTCCCTGTATTGATGCAGGTTTTCTATGGGTCTCCAGGTTAGATAAACTAGTTTCTCTAAATAGTCCATAGTGTCTGTGTAAGTGTGTGCACTATAATGACTTGGCTTCCTATCCAGGGTGTCTCCTGCCCCATGCCACGTATTTCCTGGGAAACATGCCAGCTCAAACCCATAAGTGGCTATGGAAAGTGGAAGGGCGATCTGGGATTGATGGAGTTTCTGACTGTCTCCAGGGGCCCAACATCCAAAGTGACTGGAGGATTGGTAATTAAACAAGCAACAAATCAAATCAAATAACAGACAAGCAGACGCACATCCAGACCGGCTGGCCTTCACCTGTGAGCACAAACGTCAGGAATTGTGTGTACGGGCTGGACAGGGAGATGGTGAGGGACTCACAGATGATGGCCATGAGGGAGTTGAAGTTGCCAATGTTGAAACACTCTCGGGCCACGTCGATGAAGAACTCGATCACCAGCGCTCGCTGCTTCTTCTTCGCCGGCTGAGGGTGAGAAACGAGAGGATGAGATCCAGCTGGACATGAACTGTGTGCAAAGCTGCACTAAACTTATTCTAAAATTCACATACAAAAGTCCTCCACACAGATATGACTCAGGTGAGGACGGCTGGAACCCTGAGATCAATGGAAGTAGGAGCTGTGGCATTACTCGATCCATCTTTCGATGGACCTGGAGACAAATGTAACGCGAGCTCTCTTACTCAGCGGAGTAACAGAGATCATACACCCCGGTTTCTGTAATAAATGACCAGACGGGGCGACTACAAATGTTGGCTTGGCTGAACTATGTGGCTGTTTCACAAACAGATACGTTTACATATTACGTTTGAACAGTGCGGTCACGGGAAACTTGCGTGTGTTGAATTTGGGGAGAGAAAAGGGTAAGCTTCCACTAGAGGGCGCCAAAGGACAATTCAACATATTACCACACCACCGAAAAAAGAGGTCAGCATCAATTAGAATGGACACCAAAGGTAGCCCATTAAAGACAATGACCAGGCTTGTTGTTAATTCTCACTTAATTCGCCTTGATAAGGGCATAACACCTCAAGTCTGGAAATTTAATTATGTTTCAGTCCCAGGATTCACACAGAATGCAGATTTTTCAGCACGCATCGTGATGCCGCATTGTCATAATGCCAACAGAGTGTCAACATCGTGAGAGGACTGACAAATGCCCCTGGGTGCGTCAGCCAAGCGATTACAGGTGACAGACATCTGGCTGCCTCGGGCTGTTTTAGTAAAGCCTCTTGTGACTTAATGGCATCTTTAACTTAGAAGCCAAATTCATGCAAATAATATATTTTTTAAGGCATTTCCTGTTCAGTTGGCGCCCACCCACCATGCAGATCTCCGTGGCGACCAGGTAGCAGAGTCTGTTGAACCATTTCACATAGGCTTCCAGGTTACTGGTCTTCTTCTTTTGCTCGCTGAAGCAGGGCTGCGAACGGCACACACACAGACACGCGTCAGGTACGCGTCTTTGATGGCAGGAATGTATCGCTGTATCGGATGGCGATGGGATGATTCATTTAGGTGACGTCTTTAAATCACCTGCTGTGTATGGTTGTGTAAATGTCTCTGTGTGTGACTGTGCACAGGTCTGTATCTGTGTGTGACTACACACGTCTGTACCTGTGTGTGACTACACACGTCTGTACCTGTGTGTGACTGTGCACATGTCTGTACCTGTGTGAGACTGTGCACACCACTATACCTGTGTGTGACTGTGCACACGTCTGTACCTGTGTGTGACTGTGCACACATCTGTATCTGTGTGTGATTGTGTACGTGCCTGTATCTGTGTATGACTGTGCACAGGTCTGTATCTGTGTGTGACTCTGCACACGTCTGTATCTGTGTGTGATTGTGTACGGGTCTGTATCTGTGTGTGACTGTGCACACGTCTGTATCTGTGTGTGACTGTGCACACGTCTGTATCTGTGTGTGACTGTGCACACGTCTGTATCTGTGTGTGATTGTGCACAGGTCTGTATCTGTATGATCTGTAATGGATTGGCATCTAGCGTTTCCTGTAGATGACTGATAGGCCTGTTTTTGAATTTCCTGACTCTGTTTTGATTGGGTGACTGGGTTCTACCTGAGAGGTGTCCAGCGGGTCTTTCTGTGCGAAGGCCTGGACAAACTCCTCCGGTCCGATGTGACTCAGGCGCTCCTGGGAAAATACAAGACCCGGGCTGGGTGAGCAGACGGCCTTAGTGGAACGGAATGGTGGGAGATGGGGAAAGGAGACTCTGGACAGCACCATAGTAATGTCAACACACGTAACAGACCGTCCTATACCAACACAAGTACCACCGCTCATCCTCCTCCCTCCTGGCTGCACCGCACGCGCTCAGAATGCTGGGATACTCACTCACACACACACACACAGGCACATATTATCCCACAAATAACATCAAAACGCATACAACAGACACAAATGCCATATCGTAAATAAGGCACAGATGCAGAACCAAAACCAGCGCCCATTAGCAAACAAAGGGCATCTGCTGGTCGGTATCTACCCCAGCATGCATTGCAGGGCATGATTTCTCTCTGCAGTTGTGTCAAACTGTCAGGCCACATGTATTCAGATGGGAGTACGTCCCATCTGTTAGCCGGGGCCCCCCGCAGCGGAGACTGTGGGGAGTTTGGAGCATGCTCAGTTGGGCCCGCTCCTCCTTTAGCCGGCTGCAGAGAGCGAGATGGAGAGGGGGATCTCTGTGCTGACAAGGCGGGGGCACCATTACTGAGCCCCCCCCACCCGGGCACGGGTGACAGCAGGATTCACCATGCTGATTACACTTTGCGGCACAGCTAATGAGACAGACCGCAGTGCTGATGGTCCACCTTGCTGCCAGAAAGTATTTTTCTCTTAGGAACTTACAACCCTGAAATTCCATATTTGGCTAAGTCCTGAGGAGGGGCTCCACTGGCCCCCAGTCTCTCTCGACCTTTTCATCTTCCCACCCGTGGCTCCACTCCGCCTCTCCCACTTTTGCTGCCCTCTGTTCTGAGTCACCGGTCTTGATCCCTCCCACCCCTGTTTTTGCGTCCCCTCTCCTACGCGCCCTCCCCCCTCCTCACCAGTTCCACGTATGTGAGCTGCTGGGCCAGGGCATAGGGGTCGTTGCAGATGCTGAGGATGTCCTTCTGGATGGGCGGGGGTTTGGTCTTGAAGGCCACCAGCTTATCGGAGACAGAGGCGTTGACTTTGACGATGCTGTCGTCCCCTTGGCTCATGGTCGCCAGCTTCTGCTTCACGTTTTGAAGGATCTGGTTCATGGTCTTCCAGTAGGCCTGAAAGTGACACACATGGTCGACATCAACAAGTGACAGCAGATCATACCCAGCATCTCTTGTCTGCTTCTCCAGTCTACCTGTAACTCATCCCTGAAAACGCAGGACAGGAGGCAAAGGATGTGGCAGGTGTAGCTGTACTTCACAGGGCAAAAACACTCACAGAAAATCCATCGGGGTTATGTACCAAGGGTATTTTAGAGATACAAATCCATCCAACACCAACACAACAAAGGAAAACCATGCGAACTCCACACACACACAGCTAGGAGTGAGATCTGAACACAAAACATGATGGTCCTGAGCCAAACACAACGGCACATCTGGGATGCCATCATGCGGAACCCCAACAGCTGTACATCATTATCAAACGGTCTGCCATATCTACTGCTCCGAGCCAGGCCAGGTCTTCCTGCCCGAATCGATTGATCCCCTTCGGTGAAGCAGAAGGATTCTCCACAAATCGCCCAGATCCTGCCGTAAATTCCCGAGGGCGTCTCACTCCAGCGCACCCCCAGCCACAAATATCAACAGATTCTTCAGTGTCTGCTTTCCGCCTCAACGGCTCCTCATCCTCCTCGCCGTTTACATCCCCCGCTTTCTCTTACTTCCTCCACCTACGTCCCCAACTTCCTGTTCCATCTCCTTACTCATCGTCTAATGATGGCTCCCCAATGCCTCTGCTCTTATACACGTAATGCCATAAGCCAAACCTCCCACCTTCGCTTCATTCTACTCCATGCTTTTAGATGTTTTGAGGTTGTAGACCATGGCCTGGCTGTAGCAAAAATGACACAGTTAAGAAAGAATCTGTCCATATTTCACCAGAATGGGCGGGGCCTAACCTCATCAACCGGTGCTATCCTGTGGATGATGTCTTTCAGGTGAGCCACCATCTCCTCTTCCTGAAAGTCGGAGGGGAAGGTTTCTGTCCACTCCGTCAGGAGCTGCAGAATCTTGGGTCCGAACTTGCGTACCTTGGCCTGGAACACCAGAGTGACACTCATCAGCAACACACACACACACACACACACACACATCAACAGCCGCAGACAGGTGGTACCAACCATGTCCAGAGGAATCTGATCCAGTTGCTGCTGTTTGATGCAGAGCTGACAGACACGCGACAGCAGGTCGTGAGGAGGGATGAAGAGACGTGAGCTCAGGAGGAAGGTAAACACGTACGCCTTCTGTGAGACGGAGGGAGAAAGAGGGAGACATCAGAGAGCCATTCAAGCTGTGACAGCTTCAGTCCCGTGACCCTCCCTCTGCGTCTGTCCCGACCCCCCCACTTCGGGTCTTTGCTCGAGTGACACACCTCTGGGTAATAGTCAGCAGTGGGCACCAGGTGTTGGATTAGGGCGTCCAGGGAGGCGGAGGTGAGCTGAGGTCCCTCTGGGATTCCGGGGCCTGGTCCAGGGCCGTCTTGGGGGGGCTCCTCGCCGGGGACCAGGTGAGGGCTGAATCCACTAGGAGTGAACATACTGCTGGAGCACAGAGTCTGGGGCATTCCTGCCTGGGGAGGAGATACATCAGGCTGTCTGAGCTCAGTACACACACAGGCAACCAACAGACCAGTATAACCTTGGTGAGCAGGAGGAGGGAAATACATGAACTCCTCCACTGTATTTTCACTCTGTTACCAACAAGTAATGAGGTCAAATCCTTGGCTAAGCACTGCATGATCCGCTAGCTTAGGATTTCGCCGTTGACGGCTCTCAAAAGCCATGCGTTTTGTGTAAGACACACAATCCAGCAACGACCTTCTAAACCCATACCCCTGCCCGTGCTCGGATCATCCTTATTAATTAGCCCCAGTTCTCACCGCATGCACTGGGACAGTTTGCTCACTGCACAGCAGTGTCACTCGGGTCTCAGCGGACACAGCTATCTGTAACATACTAACATGCTATCTGTAACATACATGGCTGCTAACATGAAACTGCCCATTCCTCAGAAACAGTTCCAGGAAATTCCCATGGCTGGACCTGTTCTGCAACATGAAGATAGATGGATCCATTGCAAAGGCAAGAGTCACTCCACCCAGAGGCTGCAAGCCCTCAGTCTAACCTGCAGCACTGTACTGTCGCGACACATTGTGACAGACTGCAGATAAGACCGAAACAGGGACTTTGGACTGTTAAATCAGTGAATACCGGCTTCTCTATGGTCCAACCGACACACACACCTGCCACACACACACACACACACACTTTCTAAGATAAAAGTGTCAGAAGACATTTGACTGGTCTGGAGAGTCCAGATATGTATCCATGGTAACAGGGATTTGAAAGGACACGTGCAATTGAAATTCCCCTCCAAAAAAAAACAGGTTCAGTTGGGAAATGCCACACGCCTATGTCTGAGCCAGAAGCCGGGAATAGTGACATCGTATAATAATGTGTCAGGATTTTCCCTTTCAACAGCAGCCTAGGGATGGCCTGTTGCCAAAAACAAAGCAGCAAACAAATTATTTTCTCGCGTTAAGTAAGAGGTTTCTAAGTTAATCTAGCAGTCCCTCATGAGCGGCTGTTTTTGGACAGTTAGCGGTTAGTGTGTCAGCCTCTGCAGCAACGCTGCTGTCATTAGATGGGCGATAAAACATGTACTGTTGCCATAACAGCCTGTGGCATGGTCACATGACCGGCAAAATGAGGAAGTTCTGCTCTAACAGTGACTCACTGTCAAGGCGTGTATGTGTTGGGGAAACCGCAGCAGGAAGTGACACGTGTGGGAGACAAGCCGCCACGGGGAGGCACCAATCTTGTGCCACTCTCTCCAGGGGGTCATCGTGGCCGAGTCCTTCTAGGAACCCGGTGTTTGTTCCACGATTCCTGGTCTGCAGATGGGAAACCGGAGCCTGTGCTGGTCCCTGATGGCCAAATCTGTTAGACGAGGATGGCAAGGTTTTCCCGCAAACAAGGTCAATCCTGGGACACCCCAGGACTCCCCACTCCTCCGAGATGGAGGGCTGTGCTCCGTGTCCTCGTGATTTGACCCGTTCTTTACGCTTTGTAGTTGGGATCGAGGCACTGGCTGGGAGGACAGACCCCACCCCCCCATCCCCCAAACAGCTGCGGCATCACCGCGGACAGGAAAACGACTCAGGCTGTCAACATGGAGATTACTCAGTCTGCTCCGTGTGTCCCTGCTGTTACTGCTGTCCCTCTGTTCCCAGCAGGCTGTGGAGAACCTGCAGCAAGGAAACAACCCTCCCTGACTCCCCAAGCGAGCGAAAGTGTGCGAAGGCCGGCGTTTGGGTCTCTGCTTCCCTCATCATCTTCACTTCCGCTTTCTTCTTAGCATTATTATTTTATTGAGCTTTGTTTTTTTAACTGGACCAAAGACTAGAATCAAAACGGAAGACACAGGCTCAGACGCAGGATAAGAACACATCGGCATGTAACAAAACAAAGGCACCCGATGACACAATGCCGTCCTACGGGCATAGCTCACATTCTGGTCTGAGATTCCGATGTAGTGACTGAAAAGTGTGGCTTTGATCTTTAAAACAGAGTAAAGCCTATTTTTCACTTTTTCACCTTGATGAGATTTTTTGGGGGTAAAAGTGTTCAGGCAATTTCACTGACAAACGTTTCACTGAAAGGATGAAAGAGACGCCTGGTTTGCTGATACTGAATCTTTGGGCTAAAGGATAGAGGAAAAATTGGAGAACTGACCTGTGTGTAAAAATAGCCATAGGCGTCAATTGATTATTCACCTTGAAAGCTATGTATGTCAGTCATCATCAAAGCAGCGGAGGGCTCCCACGTCAGAGCACTGAGTGGCCACCTGGTAAACGCTCCGTAGGCTTCAGTCATAGCTGCCAGCTCACGTCTGAGGCGCCGCTGTCATTCACGCTATGGCGCGTCGCTGCGCCAACACGCCCGCCCTGCAGAAGTGCCAAACGAGCGTGACGACAGCGAGGCCTTGTGAAACACTGAGGAAACCACATCCAAAGTAAACATTCGCCAGTGCCTGCATGAACCAAGAATGCAGTGCGGGGAGGAAACCTGAGAGGGTGAGAGGCCTACTGTTTGGTGGCATCTAGGACTGAGCTGCCCCTGCTGTCCTGGAGCCTGGGGGCTGTCCCAGTAGGGGGGGAAACGCTCAGATGCCACATATAGGGCCGATCACAGTCCATAGACAGGATAAAATAATACCGGCCAAGGGGGGGGTGGGGTGGTTATGGGAAATAAGATAAAAAAAAGAGGACATTAGCAGGTTGGGAAAGTCCCGGGGGCGGGGGGAGGACGGGTGCTAGCATTTTACACCTACAAGTGTGGCTTTATTGTGAAAATCCCCCTTTCCTGTGTGATTTCATGGCGGGTATTTCGACCACCGGTCGTTCAAAGTATATAGGGATGCTGTCAGGCAGACCTGCGTGCCAGTGTGGGATCGGGCAGTGGACACAAACACCAGATGGAGAGAGACACTGGGTACCAGGGGATTGAAAGAGAACGGGGGAAATTGCACACAAAGACGACGCCAGAGCGGATAGCTGGGAATGAAGGGAAACGCCTTGTTTTCAGGGAATTATGAGGAGGCTTCAGTTCACGATGCACAGGAAGGGAGGATCACACACATCTTTCTGCGGCCGGAGGCTTATGGTGATCCGCTGGGCTGGAGGGGGTCCCGCAGGACCCCGGGCATGACATGCGCCTCACATTTCTGTCATTCCTCAGCCTGTCTTTGTCCTCCTGCTCATATTTCACCCGTAAGTCGTTCTCCTGTGGAGGCTGGGGAGAGGGCATGACTGGCCCCTCCACAGAAATCGGGGGCTCCAGCGACTACAAGCCACGTCCCGGTGATTGATGATCAACACGGTGGTGTGTCGGGGTGCTACAGCAGGGGTTGCTGTGGTAGTGAGTGCCCGGGGTGGCATTTAATGCAACTTGCTGGCAATGATCCAGAGTTCCTGAAATGCTCCCGTCCACAGGCGAGTTTAGGGGAGTGGGGGCCCTTACCTACAGCAGAAAATGCTGCTGAAACAAACAGGAGGCCCCTTCATCTCAGCCCAGCACAGCCTATGCATACATCCGGCTGCTCCTGGTGAAATGTGACGGATATTTACGAGGCCCCATATGACAGCTCATGCAGACGCAGGAGGGACTGCGCAGCTCTCTGTCACAGCTCAGCTTGGGACTGTGCAGTCATGTCTTGCAGCACGGCCAAGGTCTGCAAAGCGCTCCCTCCTCAGTGCAGATAACTCGCTCCCATTCCGATCCGCGCCTGATGTCATGGCAGCACCCCTCCCCTCGCTCAATGCCCACCGTGAATCCCAGGACGTCTCCGACATCCAAAGCTGTGAGTTATGGTTGCCGAAGCTGCGTAAATCAGTGCGCCATGACAGAGGGGACAATGCTGAGACATTCCTCTGCTGCTCTGTTACACAGGGACCTGGGGTGGGGTGGGGGGGGGGATCACAAAGTGGTAGGACCCGTTTTCTGACATCACATACCCTATCTAGCTTGCTGGAAGAGCAGCTGAGTCACAGTTGCTGTAATCTCCGAGACACGGGGGCTGGGGGTGGGTGGCCCTGAGCCCCTCGCAATGACTAGTGGAGCCAGGGCACTATTCTGTAGGACAGCTCGCTGGGGCACTATTCTGTAGGACAGCTCGCTGGGGCATTATTCTGTAGGACAGCTCGCTGGGGCACTATTCTGCAAGACAGCTCGCTGGAGCACTATTCTATAGGACAGCTCGCTGGGGCACTATTCTGCAAGACAGCTCGCTGGAGCACTATTCTGCAAGACAGCTCGCTGGGGCACTATTCTGCAGTACAGCTCGCTGGAGCACTATTGTGCAAGACAGTGCCCTGGAACGCTATTCCGCAGGACAGCTTGCTGGGGCACTATTCTGCAGGACACCTTGCTGGGGCACTATTCTGCAAGACAGCTCGCTGGGGCACTATTCTGCAGGACAGCTTGCTGGGGCACTATTCTGCAGGACAGCTCGCTGGAACACTATTCTGCAAGACAGCTCGCTGGGGCACTATTCCGCAGTACAGCTCGCTTGAGCACTATTGTGCAAGACAGTGCCCTGGAACGCTATTCCGCAGGAAAGCTTGCTGGGGCACTATTCTGCAAGACAGCTCGCTGGGGCACTATTCTGCAGGACAGCTTGCTGGGGCACTATTCTGCAAGACAGCTCGCTGGGGCACTATTCCGCAGGAAAGCTCGCTGGGGCACTATTCTGCAAGACAGCTCGCTGCCATTAACCGATCATCTTCAGCAGCCCTTCGCTCAGAGCTCGCACCAGTTTAAGGAAATGTTATATTTACACCATCAAACTGAATATTTTCATGTCAAATAACAGGAAAGCTAAAAGTCCTGCTGAAAATTTTGTTTGCATAAAAAAAATATATATTTCTCAGAGGAAATGCAATGAAATGTCTTTGTGATCTGGCACAATGCAGCGACATGAAGCATGGCAGCCAGAAAGCCCCAACGTGGGCGGGGGCCTCGCGACTCACACCACTCTCTTCCCACTCTCTGCTTGCTTCCCCCGCCGCTG